TAAGGTGCTCTGTAACCCAAGAGGCACAATTGCATGTAAATGTGTCTGGGTGTTTTTGAGAAACAAAACGAGAAAAGCTGTGATTGATGGGAGACACGCTGAAGAGGGGAAACAGAAATGAAAACCCTGTATACTTCTGTCCAAGAAAAAGAAAAACATGAAAAGGTTTAAGACACAAACGCCAAGACAGTTGAAAAATGGCAGGAGTGTTGGAGTAGAAATGTTAAAAGCAGGTGGTGTTGTGCCTGCAGGGCAGCCCTGCATTTTATTTAAGGTGTTGTGAAAAACTGTGGATTGGAAGACTGCTTTTTATTGTTTCCTGTGTGGTGAAGTGAGCAAGAACACCTCCAGGCCCATTAATTTGTTAAAGTGTGCCTGGAAAACACGCAGGGCTGACAAGGGAAGCGAGAATTTCGAATGTTTAGAAGGCCAGGCAGCTTTGCGCCAGGCAGAGTGGATGTGGGCTGCTCTGTCCATCATTAAGAAGGGCAAAAATGTGACCCTCTCTTGTACCTTTGTGGGCTGCAAAAAGGAAAAAAGAAAAAGAAAAAAAGGAAGGTTAATTTAAATAAGCTTGAATTTTGGCACGTTTCCCGCAAGGACAAGAGTTGAAGGTTAGTTGCTGAAGGCAAGAGAGCGCCGGGCCAAAAAAGAGGGAAGCTTAAGAGATCATTTGAGTGCGGAGCAGAGAGAAGGACGTGTGTGAGGTTCTGTTGGCTGCTAAATTTAGAAATAAATACCTAAAGAATGCTTGTGGCTGGCTGGCAGGGCTCGGGCGTGCATTTATATGCAGATGTTGCCGCTGCTTGGCTGAAAAAAAAAAAACCAGAGTGATTTTTCAGCCAATGTTAGCTTGTGCGAAGCAGCGAGGGGTCTGGGCCTGAAAATTGATGTATCTGAGACTGAGGTAATTGGGTTTTGACAGGGAAAATGGAGTGAAGGATTGCAGTTTATACCTAAGTGGCAAGAAGCCAGGACGAGCAGGGGGATGAGGTGTCTTCGTAACATGGTTATCGAAGGGGTGGAAAGAGAAGGGGAGATTTTAAGGTGTACCAGGAAGCGGCTGGTCCCCACCCAGGGATTATTTCTTGGAAAAACCAAAAGAGGAGATCAGGTCAAGAAAGGATGCAGGCAGTTTTCGACTTACGACCACAATTGACTCCAAATTGCTAAGCAAGACAGTGGTGGAGTGCGTTTTGCGCCATTTTATGCCTATTCTTGACCCGGTTGTTAAGTGAATCTCTGCGCTGTTAAGCAAGTTAACACAGCTGTGATTCTGGTTTCCCCGTGGGCTTCGCACGTTACACGGACAGCTGTTGAGAACTGCCTTCCGTGCAGGGGAAGGGAAGCAAGCCCCGGTCGAATGAGACGCCCAGGTCGCTCCAAGGTGCGACGCTGGCCTGGCGTGAAAGAGCGAGAAGGAATTAAGGGGGTTTGCAAGGAGCAGAGAGTAGGAAGAGGGTAACCAAAAAAAACCCCTAGGTTCTTACCTGGCACCTGGGCTCTCTCTCTCGCTCTCTCGGTCCTTCCAATTCCAAGTCCTCCTTCTGCAGAATTTGGGGTGCAGCTGACCCCTGGCAAACTTCAGCACCGGCCCCCCAACCCACCTACACCCCACAAAGGCGATTCACTTCTCAAGCAAACAGGCATCCTACACGGGAAAAAGAGCTTGAATAAAATAGCTAAATAAATCTTTAATATTTTTTCTAATTGCAAATGTACATAAATGGCACGCACACATCATGGTTGGTTTTTTTTTTGCTCTGGACACAAACTACGTTCTCTGTACATTATTCGACAGCAAAACTGAAGGAAACGACTCAGCAAGTCCTCGGCTTCATATTATTATTGTTCATTATTATTATTATTATTATTTTTATTAAACATACTTACAAAAATTATTTTATTATTATTGTCATATATATATATATATATTTTTGCTTGGTTTCTTTTAGAAGAGACTATAAAACATGGAGACTGGTTTGAACAGGGAGCAAGTGGGACCCAGGAACGCTTGTAAGCGCCAGAGAGGTATATCTGAAGACACAGTGCTGCTGTCCAGGAAGGGAAAGGGAAAGGAGACCACATGGAGGGTTTTTTTTTTCTCTCTTTCTTTCACATAATGGATGCCGAACCACAGAGCAACCACAGGGAGTCCCGTTTGGTTGAAAAAATCACTGTCCTTCCCCAACAGCCCCACCCAATTGCCCACCCACCTTGGGGGGTTGGTGAAACCTTCCCATCTTCCGGATAGGGGCACAATCTCTGGGTCTCCCCACACAGATCCTTGCAGCACGGTATGGTGGTGTGGTAGAGGAGGAGGGCTGGATGGGAAAACCCACTACCGGCTGTTTTTCCTTCGCCCACCTTCTGCACCGGGGTGCCCAGGTGGGTGGACTGGGCTGCTTAGGGGAGAATAGGGGGGCGCTGCTTGGCCCTGCCCAGTTAGAAAGCAAAATCGACTGTCCCCCTTGGCTCGGTCAGGTCCAGAGTTGGTTGAGGGCTCAACTGAACCATGGCACCTTTCGTTCTTGACCCGAGCCCTTGGATTGGTGGGCTCTGGCACCTTCCCAAGAGCAATTCAGTGGATTTTTACCCATCGGGTCTCACCCAGCAAAACCAGACATGCATTGGGGGTCAACCCGGGCCGTCTGGTTCCTTTGCATTGTGGGTGACGGTTGTGGGGTGCCCCCTCCCCATATAGGGTCTTCAATTCAGCCCTTAGGGATTCAGTGCTCGATTCCCACCAAGCTGGCTTGGCCCGAGTGTCAAATTCAGGATGGATCTTGCATTGGGGGGGAAACACCCCCCACACACCTATTTGATATCAACGTTTTCTTCCTCCAGAATTTAGCAGGAACCGCGAAGCTCACTTCCAAAAGAAGCAAAAAAAAAGAGGAACCAGACCACGGGGAACCCTCCATTATCTGGGTTTTCCAAAGGAGCGTTTGGATAGAGCCAGCCCCATTCCCCCCCCCCCGCGTGACTCTAACACTGCAGCTCCCATAAATCAAAGCAGCCTTTTTTCTTTTTTAAATTCTCAGGCAAAAGAATCTTTTTTTTTAAAAAAAATGGCACATTATATTCGATACTTGAAAACATCTTTCTCCGTTTTACAAAGAGGACCTGTACAACTTTCTAAAGATCAGTGTATTATAGAAGGATTAGTTGTAAAAAAAAGAGAGAGAGAGAGAGAGAGAGAGAGAAAACCTTACAGATCGTAACAAGTTCATATGGCGGAAAGTTCAAGGAGAGAGAAAAACGGGGTTCACGCACACGCACACCCCGAGAATGGAAGGGCAGCAGAGGTCTCTCTCTTCTAGGTGCAAACCATTGGGAGAAGGGAGCTGAGGGGCCCCTCCCACCTGCCCAGCCTTGAGGGGAGAGGAAGGACATCCAGTCGAGCGCCCAGGGGCTGGACTGAACCCTGGATGGCACAGGGGTTCCCTCCTGGGCATCTCAGGCCTCTGGTGGGCGAGGCGAGAGCGCTTCCTGGAGGGCAGGGTCCAGCATTTGTGACATGGCATTTGGCAAACGTTCCCAGCGCCCTGAAAGTGCCCAATAGGACCAAGGACAGCGCAGGGGAAGGTACCTGCTTACTTAAGGTATGGCTGTCTGGGAGGGGCTTCGGATGTATGCCCCACTCAAAGGGAAGACCCCGCGAGCCCTGGGACTGCTTGGCAAGGAAAGGCGCCCAGTTCCCGGCTGCTTTGCCCAGGCTGCCTAAGACCCTGCCTGGGCACCACGCCTTAGGAAATCTGTGCTCCGTTTTGCATGCACCTTCCTTGGGGTGGGTGGGTGCCCGCCCTGCAAATGGCCACCTGGGGAATTGGGAGGAGGGGCAAGACATGACTCTTGGGAGGTGTCCAGCGGTGCCACTGATCTTTAGGCATTGGTTCCTTCGCCCCAGAGACAAGAGAGAGAGAGAGAAAGCGGGGTGCAGAAAAAGCCGCGTGATTGTCTGCAAACGTTCGGGCCCAGGTGGGGTCGCCAGGTGTTGGGGGGCTGGGGTGTTGTCAGTATTAAACTTCGGGTCTTCTGGGAAAGGGCCCCGGGGCCAGTTTGCACGCAGCCGAGCCAGATGGCAGGCGGGGAAGCGTTTGGAGCGAGAGAGAGAGAGATTCAACGTCTGGCTTCTTTCGCCTTCCTCCGTGGCTGCTGCCTCCTACACACCTGTAGGGAGGGGGTGTGTGTCTCACAACGGACCACACTGCCAAGACAGGCCCGCCAGCCCGGTTAAGGCTGCCCAGCGGTTCGGATTAGGGAAAGGGAGTGGGGGCGGGGCGGCTCTTTTCAGAGGGCGCCTCCTTGCTCGGTTACTCTCTCTTTTGCGCGGCCTCGTCGAGGTGGCAAGCTTCCCACGCAGCACCCCCACACACACCCCGAAAAGAGGAGAGGAGTCCAGAAAAAGTCTGCTTTGGGCTTTGGGCTGTTTTATTCCTAACGCAGACTGTGAAAGAAAAAAGAGAGGGAGTTAACCGGCTTTCGTACACGAGGGAGGCTGTCGTTTTTTGTTTTTTTTTCATCCTCTGGTGCTTCTCCGGCAGCCATCATGCAGGGACCTGCCATACATGTTGCTGGAGAATTAGGGCCAGCCAAGCAGACCCCCCCACCCACCCCCTGTGAGCAGCTGGGTGGGTGCCCTCCCCATCTGTGGGGCGGCAGCTCCCTCGGTGCTAGGAAATTGAGAGGGTGGGGGAGCCGTTACCCCAACCCCAACACCACCCCCGGAAGGCCCAGGCTGGTTTCTTCCTTTTGCAAACCCCGCCGAAGATTTGACTGCCCTGGTATCCGCTGACACACTATTGCACTACGCCCTGGTGTGGATTGGGTTTCTCGGGCTTTCACGCCGTAGCAGGAAGCTTATTTTTTTCGCACTCTTCTTGTTTGGCGCAGCGAAACAGCCCTTTCGGCCAGAGGTTGTGGCCATCCTCCCTTGGGATGCTGAAGCCGCCCAGGACGCAAGGGGGAGGGGTCTTCTGCAGCTTTCGCCTCCTTTGCAAACTGTTGGGGGGGGTGTCTCGCCAGCCTAAAGATGGCCAGGGGCCAAAACGGACCTCCTGCTGCCCAGCTCATTGGGTTGCCTTTGCAGAAGTTGGCATGCAAAACGTGTCCCCCACCAGACGCAAGATTGTCGTCAGCCTGGCTCCTGGCTGCATCAAACTGATGCCGCCTTCTGCCCTTTCCCCCCTTTATTTTTGGCCTTGTCTCCAGCCCTGGGGGGGGGGGGCAGAAATGCTTGAGTGGGAGGAGCCTAAGTGCTGGAAGTGGGGGGATCTGTGCTGATAAAAGTTGACCCCCCAAGGAATTCTGCAAACTTAAACCGAGAGAGGAGTGGAACATCCCTGAACGTTCCGCCCAGGTTGAGGTTTTCTGGCTAGCGGCCCTTCTTCAGGGACTCACACAGAGATGCCTGGGCAGAGAATCCTTCGGCCAGTGATGGAGCCCCTGAGCTGCCCCAATTCCTCCTCCGTCCCCTGATGAGATCTGTTGGCCGGGGAGAGGGGGAGTGCCATCCCCCAGACGAAAGGGGACGAGGCCCCTGGCACCGAACGAGCACTCGGTGGGACGTGTTGGTGGCAGCTGGGCCAAATTCCAGGGTGGTGGCAGCACCAGGAGCCAGGACAGATCAGGGAGAACGTGCTGGAACAGGGTGCTGGGCACGTCAAAAGTCTCTCCACATTCCTGCCTTTGCCGCTGAAGCATCTTCTTTGGACATCTGGCTTAGCGCCTGCTCGGTTGGAGGCTCCTGTGCAAATCAGCGCCATCCCTGGGCCAGGGGCTGTTGGCGAGGAGCGCTCAGAGTCCACTTGGCTTTGCCCGCTGGAGGCGGCGGACCAGGGGAGTGCCAGGCCCGTGCCAGGTAGCTCCACCCCTCCTGGGCGCTCGACTTGGCTCTCCTCTCGCTCACTCTCTCGCACACCCGCAGCAGCTGGTCCCTGGGTTAACAGCTACTGCTGTTCCGGAATTCACCGCTCTCGGTGATCTGCAATTTAGTTGGGTTGGTGGGGGAGATCCCGTTGCGGGTTTGCGTGCTGTACCTCTCTTTCAGCTGCGTGAGGGCGCTCATGAGCCGGGCGTTGGCCGCGTCCAAGGAGGCGATGCGTTTCTCCTGGGGTGGCAAAGGGGGAGACGGACGGTCAGTGCAAAGATTTCCCCAGCTAAAGCGTTTTTGTAAAAAAAACTGGGATAAACAAGACAACCACATGGCCCGTCTGGGACGGTTTCTCCCAACCTTGGTGACTTTTAAGAAGTGTGGACTTCAACTCCCAGAATTCCAGCATGCTACCTGAGGAATTCTGGGAGTTGGAAGTCCAGCCGCGTCGGCGGCTGTGCAATTCTGAAAGTCCAACATTTCTCAAAAGTCCCCAAGGTAGAGAAAAGGGACCAGGAGGAGAGAAGTGGCAACCCCCTTTTGAATTTGGGGGCAATTGTCTTCCTCTTTTCTAGGTTTTGCGATTTTTTCTTTTTTCTTTCCCAGGAAGGCGCCTGTCTTATTGATCTGCAGCAAAGCAGCTTCTCCTTTCCGCCCTTGCCTGGAATTATTTGGAGAGGCAGGTTCCCCTAGGAAGGGGCTCATCCTCCAGCCTCGCCTTGGGCGGCTGATGGAGATCTCTGCTTCTCGTCCCTGAATCGATCCAGCCGGTGGACTAATTAATGGATGAGTTGAGGTGGGGAGGAATGGCTCTTGCTAAGGCCAGAGGCATCTCTTATTGCCTCTAATGGGCCAGGGCTGCGGAGATACGAGGAGCCGGGCAAATCCCTGGAGCTGCTCAGGTAGCACAGCCCACCCAGCAGCGTCACTCCGCCTGGGTGCCAGCGGGACCAACGGCTGGGTGGGAAGAAGCTCCATCTGACAATGGGCTCCTTCGTCTGACCTTCTTCTTTGGTGGGGGGGTGGAAGAGGGTGGAGAGTGGCATGGGGGTGTGTGTGCCTTGCCCAAGGTGCCAAGAGGCAGCCTGGAATCCTTGGTAGGCAGGAACACAGCTCCCATCCTGGCTGCTCTCAGGATAGATTGAAGAGTTGTATAGATTTGTGCTTTAGTTGGGCAAGATTCAGTCTCTCGGCAAGCAGCCATAAGGGCGTGACTCCGAAGTCATTCCTTCGGGCGTTTTTGGTTCCCTGCATTTAACCCCTGCCCAGATTCCCCACTGCCACATACACACACAGCGCAGCTCAGAGAAAGCCCCCACTCCACCTGCGCATCGATGATCTTCTGCTTGGAGTCCACAGCCGCCTGCATTTCCGCGTGGTCCTTCTTCAGCTCCTCCTCCACCGACATCAGCCTGGAGGTGGGAAAGTGGGGGTGGGGGTTCCCCTCTCAACGGCACAGCCTTTCTCCCCTTCTTTCTCCTCCCAGCCCCACCATTTTTGGACGCAAAGAAATTCTGGCGGCAGGTCTAAGCGCCAGATTCGTGGGAGCTATGCTGGTCGGAGTGGGGCCCGCTGGAGGAATCCCCTGTGATTGACTTTTGGGGAGGGGCACCGAGCAAGTGTCAGGGTTCCAAGGAACACCCCCAAGGATGCTCCATTTCCCACCCCCCTCCCCACTTACCTGCTGATGATCCCCTTCATCTGTATCTCCTTGTCTTCTTGCTGCCGCCGCAACCGGTCCTCGCTCTCCTCCAGGCGGGCTTGGTACTCCAGCGCCAGCTTCTGCGTGCCTTCCTCCTGGCACCGGAAGCGCACTTCGTACTCCTCCAGCTTCTTGGCTGACTGGCGCAGCTTGTCCTGCAGCACTGCCACGTCTTGCTGATACTGGGGTGGGGTTGGGGTGTCAAAGGGGAAGGGAGGAATGGAGGGACTAGGCCAGCTGTGCCACAGCAGCCGCCCCCTGCGGTCCCCGTCCACCCTCTTTGGAGGCAGGCAGGGGGTCTGTCCTACCACCGGTGCAAGAAAGGAATGCAAGAACCCTACTCCCTCCTAGTGCTGACAAGGTTACCTAGTTAGGTCATGAAATGTCTGCAAGAAAACCACCAAGCTCAGAGAGCGCCAAGGACCCTATCCTCCTCCTCCTCCTCCTCCTCCTCCTCCTCCTCCTCCTCTTTCTCCCTCCTCTTCTCCACAAAGCCCACTCCCTTCTAGCACTGATAAAGTTACCCAGTTGGGTCATGAAACGTCTGCAAGAAAATCACCAAGCTCAGAGAGCGCCAAGGAGCCCGCAGTTCAACCCTGAGCTACAAATATGCTCCTTTCTTTGAAAACAATGCCCAGGCCTGGTGGGGCATCCCCGGGAGACTGGGGTGAGCAAGGCAGGTGGGAGGGAAGTGCAGAAGGGGCAAAGGAAGCAGGATGGGGTGGAGAAAGTCCAAGGGGTGCACTCCCTCCACAACTAAGGGCCTTGAGACTGAGTTTTCCTCCGTCTTCCCAGAGCCGGGAGCTCTGAAGCCAACACTCGCGGTGGTCGCCCTGTTACCTTTTCCTCTTGGCTGAGCTCATCTTTACTCCTGAGCTTGCATTCCGGCTCGGCGTTTTCCTCCTCCAGAAACTGGACATTCATGTTCAAGAGCCAGGCGGCCGTGCGGTCCAGCGCGTTGGGGTTGACCGGAGAAGGGGCCTGCAAGGAAGGCGCCGCGTGGCGGAGAGAGGGCATAAGGTGGAAGCCAAGTGGGCATAACGCCCTTGGTGGAACAGAGGGGTGGAGAACGGCCCTCTCCCTCCAGGTTCTGCCCTGCTGATGGGGGGGTACTCCTGGGCATGAAAGTTGGCACACCAAGAGGCTGCCAGGGGTGGGTAGAAGGGCTGGGCTCGACAGGGCCCTGGCTTTGCAAGGGTTTCAGCGAGGGAGGTGGGCATTTCACATAGTTTCAGATGAAGCAAAGACACCCCCCCTTCAGTTGTTCTGTTGGGGGCCGCTTTTAATATGTAGATGATTAACATGACTCTGTAAACCACTTAAGAGAGGGCTGTAAAGCACTACAAAGCGGTATACAAGTCTAAGTGCTATTGCTATTAAAGGGGTATCAGCCACAGGTGGCTGGCTTTCTTGGAGGTGAACCAGGGGTGGGATTCAAATTTTTTAACAACCGGTTCTGTGGGCGTGGCTTAGTTGGTGGGCATGGCCTGGTGGTCATGTAATTGGCTGATCATGGCCAACTCAACATCACTCACATCGAGGCACGCATCTCCTCGCCTGGCCTCTTGTGACTGTGGGGATGCTGCAACAGTCATAAGTGTGAAAAAGGGTCATAAGTCACTTTTTTCAGTGCCATTGTAACTTTGAATGGTCCCTCCACACAAGCAAAGTACCAGCAAAGGAGGGGAAAAAAAACTCCAGAGAAGTTCCTGAAACAGGAAGTCTAGTCCTGCCAAGAATGTAATAAGGGTTAACGGAGAGGCAGTTTCTGTAAGCAACCTCAGAATGTTTCCTTCCTGCCTTCCTTACAGGATTAGCCCAGTAATTTCTCCTAACAACCGGTTCTCCGAACTGCTTAGAATGTTAACAACCGGTTCTAGTGAATAGTTGCGAACTGGTAGAATCCCAGCCCTGAGGTGAATCTAAGTGCCCCACAAAGACATGCAAATTGCAAGACTTCCAGCCAAGGGGTGGAAATGGGAGTGGCAGATCACTCTGGGGAAGACCCAGGTCTGTGGAGCAGCCATCTTGGGGCCCAAAAAGCTGTGTGTGGCCCTTGATTAAGTTTCACGCAGAGATTGACGGGGCTGAAGGTGAACAAACAGCTCCAGGATTTATGGCATTAAGTGATAAGAAAGGGCAGAGGTGCTGGGGTTTGGGGGGGCAGCAGCTCAGCTCCCCCCACTGGGGGTCCCAGGCCTGGTGACAGATATGGCTCCTCCTGAGTGGGCAGAAGCAGCAGAGAGGGGTCCCAAATGGGCATCCTGTGTGCTGGAGGAGCAGCGGACAGAATGAGGTGGCCAGAGAGGCCAACGTGGGCAGAAGAGACCCGGGAGAAGGTTGGGGTTTTGGCGGAGAGAAGCCAGTGGGCGTCAGAGGAGCTGCATGGGGCTCATGGCCTGGCCCACCTCCCCCCACCCGGCAGCCCCACTCACCTGCTTGTGCATGGTGCGCTGTTTCATTTCGGGGCTGTCTCCCTTGGAGGAGGAAGACTGCTGGCGCAGGCGGGCACCGCTGCCCGGCCAGTCGGGCGAGGAGGAAAGCAGGCCCCCGCTGGCCGGCCGGGGGTACTGCAAAGTACTCAGCAAGGAAGGAGGGGTCCTGCCCCGAGTGACGGGCGGGGGCGGGGGTGGGGGAGGGGGCTGGTCTATCCGCCGCTGGGGGCCACCACTGTTCTGCCGGGGCATCGTCGGCTGCCCACCCTTCTCGGCCACCGAGAGCTGCCGACGGGCCAGTTCTCCAGCCCGCCGGGCAAAGTCCTCCGGGACGCTGGGGTTGCCGAAGCCGTGCTTGGTGGCCGCTGCCAAGTCTTCGCTGTTGCTGTGGGAGCTGAGTGAACTGTGGCCCTCGGAGCCCGAGTCGGCCAGTCCCCGGGGAGAGAGTGGCAAGCCAGCCGCCATCTGGTAGACGGGGTTCTGGAAGGAGAGGGGGGCCAGCAGCTGCGGCCGGCCAGGGGCGTTCTCAGCGTTGGGAGTGGTGGGCGTCTGTGCCGAGCGGCGCACGGTGGCAGTGCCCATGGTGCCACTCTGTTGAGTCCGCGTGGCCCAGGCCTGCCCGGCGGAGGGGTGGCTCTCGGGGAGTGCTTCTGCGGCCCCCAGCCCACCGCCCCCGCCGTCCAAAAGGCGATTGTCCTGCAAGTCCACCATGGAGAGGCTCTTGCTGCCATTGGCCATCTGGACGTCGGGCTCATTGGCCTCCGAGTAGCTGGAGCTCCGGGCAGGCGATGGCTGAGCCCCCACAGACCTTGTGACAAAAAACAAGTCCTTGTTTTCAGGAGTTGGAGACGGTAACCGTGTGAAATCTATCAGACTGTGGGGGAAATAAAAATGCATAAGGAGAAGAGGAAGGAGGAAGAGGAGACGAAGACGACGAAGAAGAAGAAGAAAAGGAGAAACGGCAGTGAGGCAGAGAGAGAAAAACACGCTACGCAGAGGACAGCAAGCAAGCAAGCGCATCGCATCCGCCATGCTCAGGTGAAGGACATGCTGAACTCACCCGGGAGAGCTTTGCACCCTCAGGGACCCTCACCCAACTATTATTCCTCTGAGTTTCAGTGTGGGTAGAGAGGCCACCACCCGTGAGGCCTTACCAAGGCCTCTATGGCTGACGGCAGGTGCCATAAGGGGCGGGGTGTGTTTGGCCTCTGTAACTGAACTTCACCACCCTCCTCCCCCTTCAGCCTCAGCCCTTTCCACTTCAGGGTCTCCAGAGCACACAGTCTCGCCCAGGCCAGGACCGCCTCCCTACCTCCCACCGCTATGGCCAACCTGCCTCTTCTTACCCAGACAGATCGCTCTCCAGGACCATTTTCTGGAGCCCCACGGAGATGCCGTTGCCGGCGCTTGGGGTGGAGGCGGCCGGATCGCCGGTGACGGAGAGCTGCATGCAGGATGGGTTGCTCAGCGCGGCGTTGACGTCCCTGAGGAGGCGCGACAGGGGGCCCAGCTTGGTGGCCGTGCTCTGCAAGGGAGGAAAAGGATGGTCTGTTCTCAGACTCTTCAGGGACCCGTCCCAGCCGGCGCCCTTTGGGGCACCCAGGAAGCTCCGCTGGGCCCCTTGGGATGTGGGTCTCCGGGCCTTACCTGATCCAGCTGAGCCACCACCTCCCAGAGCAAGGAGTGAAGGGTGGCCAGCTCCCGGCCCAGGTCGATGTAGCCCTCAAAGCCGGCCGTGTTGGAGAGGGTCTCCGGGTTGGAGATCTCCAGGAGAAAGCGCTGCATGTTGGTCCATTCGTGCTCCAGAAACTGATTCATGAAGTACATGTACTCTTCTTTGCTCCCAAACCTGCGGCCCAAGGCAGAGGAGGAGGAGGGTCGGAACCCGGCTAACGCCCGGCAGGAATAGAACTTCCACCTCCAAGCTGGCAAGGCCAGGCAAGGTGGCGCTTGAAGGAGCAGGGAAGATGCAGCGTGAATGGGGAACCGGGGCCAGGCAGGCGGGGTGTGTGGGTGGGTGGGTGGGTCAGCTGCAGGCTCCCCACTTAGGAGAAATGTCAAGGGTACCAGGGGTCAAAGCTCTGATCCTTCCTTCCTTTCTTCCTTCCTTCCTCTCTCCCTCTCCTTCCCTCCTTCCTCTGTCCCTTCCTCCTCACAGCATATTATCTGATTCCTTCCTTCCTTCCCTTCCTTTCCTCCCTCTCTCTCTTCCTTCCTTCCTTCCTCCCTTCCTTCCTCTCTCCCTCTCCTTCCCTCCTCATAGCGTATTATCTGATCCCTCCCTCCCTCCCTCCCTTCCTTCCTTCCTTCCTTCCTTCCTTCCTTCCT